TCGCCCCTGAAAGCTTTCAATCAAATCGCTGTAACTTTTGTAAAAGCAAATATTTTCGATGTCTTAATCGCACTTTTTATTTATTTTTGCTTATTATAGTCAGAATATATATTGTGTAAATCCCATGCGCAAAAAATTCTTTTTTTGTTGACCGGTCGACCATTTTTTTTAAATTTATCGATTGACTATCTATTAATCGATAATTATCGATAAGTTATCGATTAACCATTGAGAACAAATTTCAAACGTCAGAATTTAAAAGAAAAGAGGTTAACGACCTTTTTATTTTGTATCAAAATTGCCAGGTGTGACGTGTGATCCTAGATCAGGGGTCGGNGGTACCGTCAAAGGGAATGTGGTAGCCCCCGACACGATCTTCCTGATGGTTGAGTCAAATCTTCAAACGCGAATTGCGGGTGAACGGGACGTCGGAAGTGGGTACCGTAAAAGGGAATGTGGTAGCCCCCGACACGATCTTCCTGATGGTGGATCAAATCTTCAAACGCGAATTGCGGATGAACGGAACGTCGGAAGTGGGTACCGTCAAAGGGAATGTGGTAGCTCCCGACACGATCCTACTGATGGTGGAGTCAAATCTTTAAAAGCGAATTGCGGGTGCACGCGGAGTGGGAAGCGGTTAGTGAATGTAGTAGCCTTCGACAAGATCTGTTATTGATGGTTGAGTCGAAAGTGGCTAATAGAATACTGATCTGCCACACAAAAATGCGCTGAAGTCCCTTCGATCTCAAACGAGGACTTTGATAATTTTTAATGAATGATCATTGTTTGAGTTGATGTGACTTTTGTTATTTAACAAGTTTAACAATTTTTAGTACATCCATTCTGAAAATTGGATGTAAAATAGACGAAGCAAATTTGTTTTAAATTTGTCGAACTGTAATTAAGTAGGTACATAATGAGATTTGCATTTCAATCCAAATATTGTAAGTACCTAATATTACTTATTTGTCATATGTGTTTAATTAATGTAGGTATTTGTTGCCAATATTGAATATCTTGACCAATGTTTAGACCGCATCTATTTGTTCAATATATTTGCAAACTGCTGCATTGCTGATTAACCAGATATATAAATCGAAAATGTCTCTACCAGCTATAGAGTTTGTGTCTTCCAGAAAAGGTAAGAGCATTCGTTACCCATATCCACACTTTGTATAGTAGGTATATTTTATAGATGATTTTCATCTTCGTTGTTATTGCGTCTTTCACACTTCTCTTGTATCTTCATGTTACAAGGAATTTCCATTACTGGAAGAAAAGAAACGTTCCGTACCTGGAACCGACGGCGTTTTTCGGAAATTTCTTTCCCGTTTGTTCACGAAAACAAATGATTGGAGACTTTTACAAAACAATTTATAACTCAAAACGAACAGAATACGTGGGATTTTATACATTTGACCAGCCGTGTATTTTAATTCGCGATCCTGAAATTATAAAAAATGTGATGATTAAGGACTTTCATAATTTTACCAACCATGCTGTAACTTATAGTAAAGATGACAAATTGAGTGCCAACATGCTGTTCTTCACAGCAAACTCAAAATGGAAAACGTTACGAAGGTACTTTAGTACTACTTATTCCTCGGCCAAACTAAAAAACATGTTTGGGACCATTGCCGAAAGGTGCGATGGTGTGATCCGGCACGTGGATGAAGTTAGTAAAAATGAAATTGACTGCCGTGACTTTGCAATGAGATATGGGGTAGATGCGATATCGGCGTGTGGGTTTGGTATAAAGGCCGACGCCCTTCAGAAAGAATCAGCATTCTTTAAAATGACCAAACAACTCTCAGAAATGGCTACAAGCATGGCTGCATTTTTCGTTGCTCCAATACTGGTGGAGGTCTTCAAGCTGAAGTTTTTTGAGTCTCAAGCGGCGCATTACCTCAAAGATATTTTCGTCAGTATTACAGAGAAACGAAAAAAATGCGAATACGTCCAAAGGGGCGATCTGATTGACGTTTTGCTCCAGTTAGAACAAGATGGCCATAGTGTTGGTAAGTAAGCCCCAATAAACGAGTAAATCAAGTTTTCTAATTTTCGCATTTCAGATGAAAATTTAATTGGAGGCGCGGCAATGCAGTTCCTTTTCGCTGGGTTTGAAACGACAGGGACGACAATTAGTTTTGCTCTCTATGAGCTAGCCATGAATCGCTCCGTTCAAGAACGCTTAAGGGAGGAAATACGGTCACTATGCGGTGGCAAAAATAAGATTTCTTACGAAATGATAAGTCAAATGGGGTACTTAGATATGGTATTAAAAGGTAAAGGGAATATTATTTAAAAAATACCCATTACTGAACTTTCAGAAACTCTCCGAAAATATCCGGCATTGCCGTTCCTGGACCGTCGCAGTAAAGCATCCTATAAAGTGCCTGGAAGTGATTTAGTCATCGACAAAGGTGTAAACGTTTATATCTCTTCAATCGGGTTGCATTATGATGAAAACTATTTTCCAAACCCGTATAAATTCGACCCAGAACGTTTCGCTAGCAAACAAAATCCTTGGGTTTATATGCCCTTCGGGAATGGACCCCGAAAGTGCATAGGTACGGATATCGTACTTATATTACGATTAGCGTCAACCGAAAATGTTTTAGGAAGCAGATTTGCGGAATTGACTGTGAAAACGATTTTAGTTAAATTGTTGCTGAACTTCAGAGTTAAGCCAAGCCCAGAAACTCCTTACCGCATAACATTCGAAAAGAATGGCGTCCTACTGGCACCAGAAGGGCGTAAATTATATTTGAATTTTGAACGCATACATCCAAAATGCACTTGAATTATTTATTAAAATAAAATTTTAATTCATACTAGTTTAGTACCTTGCTTGCAATCTATTTAAGTGTTCTAAACGCTCTGTCAAGATTATAGTAGACAAAGATTACTTGGCGGTTCCTCGAAACCCAAATAAGGGTTTATATAGGATTGTCAGTACCTATATAGTCAGAGATAGGAACGATGCCCACTAGTTCTAGTTATATTGACAGAATAGCAATTCGGTCCTTAAAAAACTGAACGGACGAATCCTATGTGGTTGAGGCGCTTTTTTTCATTCAAAAAGTGTATTACACGGACCTGCATAACTTACTAAAATTAAAAATAAATTTGATTCCTATCTGCGCCAAATTATACGTTCCCTCTGTAGGCTTGAAAAAATGAGTAAACCCCAAAATCACCTATTGGGCTCTCCTACTAAAATAAAAAAATTAGTATGGGGAAGCCCAATAGGGGATTTTGGAGTTTACTCAAGCGCATAATGCGTGTGGCTCTGTAATTGGGCACAAGCCTGTTAAGGCCCCGGAACAAGAGAGGCACAACAAATAAATAAATCAGAATAAATCAAAGTGGGTTGACTGCGTGTTGAAAAGTGTGCATTTCAATTTTCAATAATTTTAGCGTGACGTGATTCAAAGGAAATTATTTAAGAATAGCAGAAATAATACAATCTGCCGATTTCCACACGCCAGCAGTTGAATCATGTCAGTTGAATGAGATCATAAGCAGTCGTGTCATAAATTATAGGTTTCTACTCTTCCGTACAGCCTCTCCCACCATACAACCCGGCAGATTAACATACCTCCAATATCAAAGACACGATGGGCATATACACTATCAATGTCTGACGCGCTCGAGTATTTTCCTGTGGCTACGTTTTTTGTACATTATTAAAAACTTTTTTTCTTTCTACCATCTAATCTACAAAATTCAGTATGTCCCTACAACGCTCGAGTTAATCCCCATTTAGCATGTGTACTGTTTGGAACGGTTTGCACTTTCTCTTCAGTTAAATACATGATAAGCAAAACTAATTTATAAACAAGTAGAAATTTAATAACGGTCAAAGGCAAATAATGAAACGTGATTGCTGTTTTTTTAGGACCTTATTCCACAGCATACCGTCCTGATTTATTGTAAAATGGACCCTTAATGAACCTTTTTATTTTGTTGATTTCTACGGCTTTGAAAAACAAAAAATTATAAATAATAGTAATATGAACAGAGGCAGTATTTTTTTCTCTAAAAAACGTGTTTAAACTTTTGCTGTAAAATAATTAGGGGAGCTAGTAATTGACTATAAAGAAATTACCATTGAAATCCCTTGCGTCGCCCTAGGCGCCACCCTGTATAAGAATCATATTGTGCCATACATGATTGATGTATTCGTAATAAAAAATGCTACCATTGAATAATTTCAGATTTATTATTCAATGATGCTACTCAATTCAGTATGTACTGTTTCCGGTCCATATAAAAATATGAAGTTGATGATGGTTTCTCAAAGACGAAACAACCCAATGAAATTCTGTGGGAATCATCTTGTAAAGCTTAGGTACAACGAGAAAGTGTAATTTGTTTTTTGATATCTTTTCAAACAGAGCCAGACAAAAATAAAAACAAATACGGTTAATTTCGTTTTTTTTCGAACATCTTTGGAACTGAGCGGAATTTCCGAATTTTTAAAATACAATTTTACTAAGCCCTAAAATACGTTCCGATTTCCCCATGCTGTTCATTCTTTTCTTTTCGTATAAAGATTATACAAGTAGATATACACCATGACATACAAAAAGTGTACAGTCATCTATTGTAATTTCACAAACTGTCTTGATATGTTTATCTCCCGCAAACATCAGTATAGGTATCGTTAGACTGCAGTTTGAAACGTTAACACCTTAACATAATGAAAATTCTTATAATTTTGTATCGGTTATTCGGCATTTACTTTCTCAAGTCTTCATCTGGGAACCAATTGCGACTGTTAAAATTGTATTCCTATGTTTTAAATTTAATTTACCTAATATTTCTCGCATCTAGTGTCTACATTATTATCGATTATGAAATTCTAAACCGTAAAACCTCGTATTGCTTAAAAACGTTAACTTGGCACATCGAACGTTTTTCGACTTTTGCCCAGTTTCTAATCGCGAGAGTTATCATATTAAGAAATAATCGTATTGTGCATCTGACTTTCCAAAATTTAAAATGGGAGAAACTTTCCAAAGGCTTTAAATTCTATTTAATTGCGTGTATCGTCTTGACAATTGCGACGGTATTTTCGTTTGAAATCGGTAACGAATTTGAACACCTTAAAAGTAAGATATTCTTTGTTTGTCGGATGGTACTCCGTGTCATATTAAACCTCGATTATATTTTTGTTTTGCTGTACATGAAACGTACAACACAATATTTGGCGCAGATTGAGTATGGCGTTACTACGGATGTTGCATCTGCGATATGGAAATATAACAATTTGCACATGACATTAATGGAAGACGTCGAGTGCTTTAGGAAAATAATCACTTTTATGATCTATGTGGTTTTAGTGAGGATATGGTCCTCTGTATATAGTGTGATTTATTATTGGATGACGAACGAGGACACAACCATAATTTCTGTATTCCTAGCGACTGTTGTATGGCATGATATCTTCAAATTTGTTGTAGGTTTAAACTGCTGCGAAGAGGCCTTTGAACAGGTATATTTGGAGAGTATTTTAGGCTAACTAAATGCTAATCGTGTAGGAAAATCGCATCAAGATTAAAATCTACGAAATACTTCACACAGAGTGCAGTCAAGAAGTGCGAGAACAGGTACTATCATATACAGTGATATTTATTAAGAGGTAGACATATATAGGGATTTACGTGTATTGTTTTTCTCAATGTCTACTTTTAAATCCTAAAATCTCTTCTGCGGGGCGCCTAATTTTATGCAACCAAAATAACTTCTAAAAACAAATAAAGATCTGGGTGCCATATTAATTAATTTGAATATTGTTGCTTTGGCACCACAGAAAATAAATCCCTTACGCTCCCCGGTACTATACCAATTGACTTTTTCTTCAGTTGAATACAACGCACACGAAGGAAAATAAAAATACGGAAGCCAAAGCAACAATATTCAAATTAATTAATATGGCCGCCAGATATTTATTTGTTTTAAGAAGTTATTTTTGTTGCCTAAAATTGTTAGGCCCCCTGCAGAAGATATTTTATCTTTTAAAAGTAGAAATAGAGAAAAACAATACATAAATCCCTATATCTACTTCTTAATAAATATCACTGTACTTACGTACTTACTTTAATTCAAACTAACTTGTGTATGACTCATCTCAAAAAAACTTAGGTATGTGATATTAGTTAATTCGGACACATACACAATATACTTTGAATTGAACCATATATATAGTACTTACGACATAGCTTTATGGATAAGTGATCGACCCATTCCATTGGACATGTCCATGATTGTCTGGAATAATAACATCATTAATAATAATAGATCTGGGTTTCAAGTAAAAAAATTATTTGGAGAACTGTTGACATTTAGCCTCGGCCTCGGCACATTATTGGCAAACTTGTTACCCACAAAGCTATGCTGAATATAATACAATTATACACATCGTACAAAATTATTATGAAATATATTCCGTTAAAGCTTAAAATGTTATCCGTTCACATACTACTAACGAATATACAATTTCCGGGACATGGATTCAAACTCACGATGGCTTTACTGTACAAGGTACCATATGATCCGCGTGTCGAAAATAATTTTCGTAATTCTATTTTTTTAGGGCCTAGGTATCATAATGATATATTTAATTATCTTAATGCAGTTTAAATCCTAATCTAACTAAGTAGTTTTTCTATGTATATAATGTATATAAATATATATCTGTAACTATATACTTATCTAATTGTATGTATTTTTTTCTATTTTTATTTATTATAAATAAGTGTAAAAGTGTTGGCCTCTGGGGATGATATATGCGATAGTTCGGACATGTTTAATTCCGAGTATTATGTTCTTTTCGTTAGAAAAAAAATTTACTTAAAGGTAAAGAGCATTCTGATTTTTCACCAGAGGCGATAACATTGAAATAAAGATATTACACCGAGGATCTGGTTGATTTCAGCGAAGAGAACAGTCGGTGTAATCTGTTCCGGAATTCCGAATCATGCAATCCAACCCTTGGTACGGACTCGGTGGAAATGTCATTTATGGGAATAGCTTCTGGGCAATCCGTGAAGCGGTCGATGCGTGTAAGTGCGTACCTACGTGTATCCTAGAGGAAGGGGACAGATAAATTCATGCTTGTACGTGATTGGAACGTAAAGATTCCAACTGGAATTGACCTGGAGGTGATACGGTGTGGCGATGAATCTTGGAGCTTTGACAATCGAGACACTGTGCGCCACCAAAGCTTGATGTGGGATTTCATTTTGGACCATACAAATCGTTGACAGATTAAACTTGTTTTTCTAGCAATGGGGTGTGACATCTTAATGAATCTTGTTGAAAATCAACGTTCGGAATTGGGCTAGAACCTCTTTGGTGGCACAGAGAAGTGATGGTTAACCGAGAAAAAGTAGCCCACTAATAATTAATATAGAGGATGATTCAAATGAAGATGATATTTTTGTAATTGATGATTCAGGTTAAGTTTTTCGGTTTATTCAGATATCAACCCCAAGATTTGAAGTCAACAAAATGGCTGATGAACGGCGCCTGCGGTGTTTCAAAATTCATGGAGAGGTCCGAAAGGAACTCGTCTCCGGTAAAAAGGCTAGGAGGTTCGATTTTTACTAAGGTTTTTGTCCCGAAGAAGGTTTTCCTGCCATCGCCTGGTTGTGTGTGTAATAATTTTATATGTTCTCGTTTTTTATTACGCACAAAATGTTGAGTTTTTATTCAATTTCCTTTCCCCTTTGTGTATAAAAAGAACCGTCAGATTTAATACCCACTGATTCGAAAGTGCCGCGATTCGCAAAACCGTATACTATGCGATCAAAAATGAGTGTTGTCCAGTCACCTTTGGAATTTTTGTTTACATGGGAATCGTACTTAGACCATATAGTACATGAGCTGCTATTAGCCCTATGCTTTCAATACAAAATGGATGGTCACGGATAGAGGGCACTGTAGTCGTGGGTATGTGAATCTCAGGGTAAACTAAAGTCGTATGAACACCACTCGGATTGCGTAAAGAGTAGCTTTTATAGTAACCGCGTAGTACGGGAAGCTTTAAATACTCTTCATTATTTCTATACGTCCACAATTCACAAATAAGAATAGGTTTGCTTTTTTTTGCCATATCTGGGCAATTAATTAATTGACGTTTGTTAATTTATAGGTTGACAGTCTCACATCGTGTCTCATCGGACAATTTCGGACAGACTCGTTTACCCTGAAACGCACATACCCAATCGATGTCCTTGACTGTATTTTAGTTACAATTAGCAGTCCATGTACTATATGGTCTAAGGAATCGTACCTTTACTTGAACTTCCAAAGGCGGCACGACAGCAACTCATTTTTGATCGCCCGTTATAAGGTGTGTATACAATGATGAAAGTAACGGGTGGCCCTGGGCATCGATTCCCGAAGTTAGTCGATATGCTCCGTGATGTGCATGTGATGTGACCGGCTGCCATGACGTCATGATCGTATACGATAGGGATAAGTTCAAGTCTAGCTGCATTCCCGAATCGTGGACAAACTTTATGCGCTAACCAATCACAGACAAGAATTGAACTGTCATTTGTCAGTTTTGTATTTTGTTTTGTTTTTGCATTATGGATACTGCTATTAATAACCAGAAAATCCTCGAACAATTCTATGTTTTATTTCACAGAAAATATGTGAATTTATAGGTTAGGGCACTGAATAACCTCTATAGCAAAACAGCTGCAAGATCCGTCCTGTAGCTGCAACTGCGCATGACTTTCACGCAACGAGTGGTCTAAACCAGTCGTTGCGTTCGATCAACTTTTCGCTCGATGTGGTAGGTTCGAGAATGCAGTGACATTCACGTTCACATCAAGGTCAGTCGATGTGAACAAAGCACATCTTCGGGAATCGACGCCCTGCTCGTGAGTATGTATAGGGTTTTCGCTATAAAAAGCTTTGCACGTCATAAACAGAAGAAAATGGCATGCCAATTGAAATCAAGATTTGGCGGATTTATATTCATTATTATTTAGTTACTTTTTGGGAGAATAAGTTGGCAGATTCGGAATTTTTTTTACAATGTTGTCAAACGTTATTTGTTGACATTTGACACTTTGGTTCGGTTTTTGCCTGTGAAAGTTTTCGGTTATTCTTGTGGTTGTTGTTATTATTCATCTTCGCTCTTAGTGCAAAAAAATGTGTTCTTTTCAGAACAAAATTGCTGTTTGTTTGTGTACATTCTACCGTTATTTACATTTGTACTCGCCACAATGCCGAAATATTTGAACAGTAAAGCGAAGGAACTCCTTGCGTCTTTAATTCAATATTTTGAACAGGAACGAGATAATGGGGGTTTCTTATTACCATTAGGTTCAGTTCGAGAGGTAAGAATGGTTTCAATTACTTCTGACTACTTCTACTAATTGTGATTACCTTCAGCGCATTGTGGCAGCATTACATTTAAACATTTCTACGGTCAGCAGAATATCCCAAGCTTTTAAACAAAACGAAGCTTTGATATCGCAGATCTTGGTATTTGCATCTAAAAGTACTGGCGATTACCACGGAGAAATGAATCGTGAAAACTTTTTACATTGGTTTGAAAAACAATTATTAGTAAATTTAGAAGAACCAAGTGTTATCGTATTGGACAATGCTTCTTACCACAACACCTTATTGACACAAAATCCGAACAACTCGTGGAGAAAAGCAGATTTTCAAGATTGTTTACACAATAAACTTGCACTTGCGATTGTAACCTCAGAAATGTGGAAAAATTCAATTAATCACACCGAAATAGTACATTGAAATACAAGTGCAGAAACGGTATTATTGAAAAACGAGTATAAATGTAGGAACACGAGCGCCAGCGAGTGTTCCTATTATACGAGTTTTTCAATGACCGTTTCGGCATGCGTGTTTCATACTATTTTTTCTACGAAAGTGAAAAATTCTTCTCTAGAAATTAGAAATTTCAACTAGCCAAATAACGACAAAAAATCGTATAGTCTGATCGTAGTTGGATGTTTCAATTGTAAATGATCCAGTAAGCCGGTTGCCATGACAAAACATAATTGTTTGAAAAATCGTAAATTTAAGTCAAACAATTTGTGGCGTAGTGAAGAAGTGTTAAGATAGATTTTGACGAAACTGAAGATGAAGAAGGTATGTGCACCCCGCCGGACGTTGCGGAAATGGCTAATGCGGTTTCGCATGAATTGCTACCCCAAAAGTGTAAGCAGCGTTTCGGAAAGGAGCGTTTTCATAAGAGAATAAATCGCTAAGTTTTTGAGAGAAGCGCCTAATGAAACATTTGTAATGATGAAGGTTTGTCAATTTCTTATTGTATTTTTAAATCATAAATAAGCATAATTTATAATTACAGGTTGCTCTCGTCCTTGGAGTGGCTGGAACTTGCCGTTGGAGCGAACGTTGTAAAATGACTGTAACGAATTTCACAGAACAAGATACAATTTTATTGATACTTAACGATTCCTGACTCCAAGAATCATGTCCCAAGAACGTTTTCTGTAGCAGAAGGCAAAGGAAATTCTACCATTGTCTGTCTTATATAACGAAACTGTGAATAAAGCAATACAATTATAAAGAGTTACTTCGCATATGTTTATTAGCGTGTAGAAAATGCGTGCAGAAAATATTTTTGCCGCACTAGTGTTTCAAAGACCTGTTTTCACAATCAATTTACCTACAAAAACAATCGTGTTTCTACACTTTCGTAGAAAAAGTTTATAAAGGAATAGTATGAACGCGAAAAACAATTGGATATTGCAGAAATGGTCCCAATTATTATAAACTGGGTGAAAATGATAGTTGAGTGATGACAATTAACTGGACAATAAATAAAACTGCAATTACCTAAGTCACGAGAACTGAAACTTGAAACTTTGACATATGCCTGGCGTCGCCGCCTCTCCCAGGATTTAGTCAACTGTCGTGAGGATGCGTCCCTGGTAGACACCAGCAGGGACGTTTCTCCACTACTTTGTTGCCATCGCGCTGGGCCGCGACATATGCCAAACAATGTGGTGGATTTTGTGGATTGGGAGGGTTGTGGGGGGGGGCGGCTAACTGGGTGTTATCCGACCCGAACGGGTACGGCCACAGCTTCGCCACTGGTATTCTGCCTTAGAGGGAACTCTGCTTTCTTCTCCGGGCGTTCATTGGCTTCCGATGTTCCTATCCTTTGGTCTCGTTCCCTTCCCTGTTTTCCCTCGTGTTAGGCTCTTTTTATTGTTGTCCTCTCCCCGCATTACTTTCTGTCCCCATTTCCTCCTCCCCTTGGCTACTTGTCCTTGTGGCTGATTCTTCCTCCACCTCCAGTATTCTACTGCTTTCTTTCTTCCTTTGATGTTTGTCTCTGCTATTCTCTTCCCATGGTAATCCCCGAGACCTCTTGTTATGTAGTCTGAAAAGTATCTTTCACCTTTTTACGATCATATCAGTTTATGTTGATTATCATTTTATGTAGTTCAATAAAATTTCTTGTGTTTTTGTCTCGGTTGAACTTACTACACCTTTTCCACTTTTATTCGAGAAGTTGTAAATTGTATTTGAGAATTGTTACTTGTATTTGAGAAAACGTCAAAATAGATGAGAATAGTCAGTTGGATTTGAGAAAACATCAAATGTATTTGAGAATAGTCAATTGTATTTGAGAAAGTATCAT